TAAGTCTGTTGAGCTCGTGATATGGGGTTGTTCATTCCTTTATTTGTTCTGGCCCCTGCAACACATATATCGTCTCGTGAGGTAGTAGGGTAACTGTGAATATTTCCTCTTAACTGCACTTGTATATTTGTTTTTTGCGATTTATATCTTATTTATAAATAAATTTACACTGTTCAAATTTTAATAAGCTATTTAGTTGAAATTTAGTTTTAATTCATTATAAACAATCATAGTGCCGGTTAGTCTACTATAGCAAAAAAGTATTTTTAAAATTTTATTTTGTAACATCTGCATTTTATTGAATCGAACAGTTCTACAAGTACCCCACGCCACAACTAGATACCTAAATCTCGACAAGAGAAAAGCATTGTGAAAATTGTACTTTCATCGGTCAGTCAAGTATCTTCTGAACTGGTACAAAGCACTGATGGTCATTTCATGGTCACCAATTTTTGTGCTATATGTTCATCCCAATTTAGATTATGATCAATTATTAGCCCTAAATATTTTATACTCTAGTGACATTCTCAATTACTGCACCATTAATACTAATACTCGGTAAATTTATGATTTTTTTCTTTTGTTTAAAAAATATATATTTAACTTTTTCAATATTAATTTTCAATCTATTATGGATTAGCCACTTTTTATAACGTTCGAGATCCAACCTCCTTTTCATCTTAACATGCTCATTGTCATTCTCCTGATTTGGGTAACAGAAAAGGATCATCGAATCAAACGGAATCATCCCAGAACCGATAGTAAAATATATATTTTATGGATATCTTCCTAAAGATCAACGTAATGAGCCATCGGCAGAAATGGACCACAGTATAAAACAGAAAGGTGATCCTTTTTCTTTCCTTTTAGGATATTGAAATTATATACTGTAGGTTTGAAATAATCGTCCAGTTGGCTTAAAAATGATGATCGATGACATTTCTCATATAATTTTACTTACAACATTATGATATATATCTTCATTTCTAATGCCCAATTTCTCAAGTAGTAGATATGAATTAGCAAGTTTATAGATATAGCAAGCTTATAGCACTCATATACTACAGATATCTTTCAAACTGGGTTTCTGAACGATTTGACAAATCCTATCTGTTACGTAAGTTATCTAATAGATATCTAAAGAAAATGGGCAGATATCTCTAGGATATCTGCCGATGATATCTGGTGCAAGCGCCTTGTAAAGTATGCCCACTGTTTTGGCGATTGTAACCCAACTTTTTTAAGTATTTAGTATCGTTACAGTTTTTATTAAAGCCTTTTTAGAATACTTTTATTTTTCCCTCTCCGCTTTTTACAGTGTCACATTTTCTTGAATGGATTATTCTAGCTTATCTACGTCTTCAGATGAAGAATATTTAGAATCAATTAGATATTTAGAACAACCAAGACGTTATCGTGAAAGAGACAATCAATATGTGAAATATAGTAAATCTGAGTTTCGGGATAGATTTCGTTTAACAAAAGAAAGTGTAAAATTCTTGGGAGAGAATATAGGAGATAATATACAGACAATTAGTACTAGGAGGAATTCGTTGTCAGTAACAGAGCAGGTTTTAATAACTCTTCGTTTCTACGCAACAGGTTTGTGAGTTGTTTTTTATATTGTATGTTCTTATATATCTTTTACACAATATTTTTGCTTACTGTTATTAATTGGCTTACAATGTAACTAGTTGTTTTTATTTGTTATAGGATCTTTCCAAATTTTAATTGGTGATGATTGTAGGTAATATCCATAAAACTACTGTATGTAGAGTTATAAAAAAAGTAACTAAAGAGATTGCGAGACTTGTTCCACAATTTGTCCAGATGCCTCAAACCGAAAATGAAATTAGACTTGTAAAAGCTGGCTTCTACAATATAATGAGATTTCCTAACATCATTGGCTGTACTGATGGGTACGTACCTATACAGTCACCTGGAGGAGAAAATGCAGAAATATTTCGCAATAGAAAAGGGTACTTCTCAATATAGTCCAGTCGGCAAGTGCATCGATGGCGGGAGCAAATCCGGACAAGCTGGAATAAGATTTTTTTTGCTTAGTGTCGAGAAGCACGTATTAAATTTGCACTCCCCGTAAAGCACGGGCTTGGCCGCCATCTTGGAAAAATTAGCTAAAATTCGGTTTATTTTTCATTATTTGTCATTAACTCGATTTCTAACAACTTTAGTGCAAAATATGTATATATGTTAATTTTCTTGATTTTTTGACTTTCTATAGACTAAATAATTATTTTTAAACAACATGAAAACATAACTCAGCGTTTTCGGAACTTAATGTCCCAAGGAAATTAATTTAAGAATACGATTTTTTTATGATACATACCTATCTGAAATGATTTTCAATTAAACTCCTTCTAAGTGCATTGCCTCCTGCATTGTGCTGAACATTAGGTAAAATGATATCTTCAACCAACTTTTCTTCTACAACACCATCTTCAAAATAATCGTTTTTAACTAACGCAATATTATGCAACACTGCTGTTGCCACAATCACTAGCAAACTGGTCTCCAGTTTAGTTCGAAGGCCTAGAGAAAGACAAGCAAACCTTCTTTTCCAAACTCCAAATGAGCGCTCTATACAATTTCTGGTTTGAATATGAGCTGCATTATAGTTAGTCTCAGCTACAGTGTTTGAATTTAAAAGGGGTGTTGATAAATATTCTTTACAGCTAGTAGTCCTGTCACCTAACAAATATCCACCTTGATATTCCCCAGCTTCCAATGAGGCACAAAGTAAGGAAGCATTAAATATTGTGCTATCATGTGCTGATCCAGGCCATCGACAAACAATGTCCCTTATTATTTATTAGGCCAGTGTCCAAGTACTAAAAAATAGCTTATGGCGGGAGCAAATCCGGACAAGCTAGAATAAATTTTATTTTGTTTAGTTTAGTTTAATGAACCACGTGTTAAATTTGCACCACCTACAAAGCCCGGATTTGGTCGCCATCTTGGAAAAAGTGGCTAAAATTCGGTTTATTTTTCATTATTTATCAATAACTCGATTTTTATCAACTTTAGTGCAAAAAATGTACAGACCAAAATTAAAGAAGAGGAAAAGCTCTATAAAAACGTTGTATGGTTTTTTTTCGTGCGAATGCCCAAAGTATCGAATTTTACGAAAACAAAATTAAAGTTTGATATACTGTACGTGTTGAATATATCCGGGGTTAACTGTACTTGTTTCCACACCACCTTGAGCGGCACCCCCGAGATATAAAGCCTAAAAACTTGTTTGCTACTGGTTGGCAGTAACCTGCTGTCGCGGTCATAATGGAAGAACGCAATTTGCATTATGACCGCAATAACAGACTAAATTTTTATTGTTGCGCGACTGGTGAAAAATCAAATTTAACCGCCTTATCTCTCAGGGAGCTGCCTTAAGGTAAAGTACCCGGCGCGTTTTTTTTAGTGGTTTCAATATTCCATTTCCAATAAGTCTACATGTCGTCAACTTAGGTTTCTTTTGAGGTGGAAGGTTCATCAGAGTTCCTTCGTTTTTTTTATGTTACTGGCTGTTCAATATAATCTTCCTGAATGTCTTCCACATCTGTATCATATTCCGGATCTGGTTCATAAGGTGCAGAATATTCTTTTCGTTGATCTTTAGTGAGAGGAAAATTGTCCTCATACTCATCTTCGTCTAATTTTGCCACCTCCAAACTATTCGAACATGATTTGCCCTGACAAAGTGCACACATTACCGAGCAACGCAAACCTGCTTTACGGCAACTACAAGATGTATTACAACCTCTGGCACATTTACATGAAATCAGATTTAATAATTCTTGGGGAGGTGCATCTTGGGAAGTAGCAATGGGCATCAACCCATTCTTTGAATTTTTCCATCCCCAATCCAGAGGTGATTTTTCATTCCCATACCATAGCTGTATCTGACTGTATATATACGTACGGAAGGAGTGCAAGCGAGCTGCGTCTTTGGTCGGTGGTAACGATGCTAGGTTTGGTAAGCTTTTGGTAATAGATTTTACGAAACACTGGTACCTGTACTTATCTAACGAGTCGCATTTTTTGGATCCATATAGATGAAGAAGAAATCGTTCTCCAGCTTTTTCTATATCTTCTGGGGATGCATTTGGGTCTTTGAAAGTTTGTGCAGCTGTCTGTAATAATTCTTTTTCTTTCTGTAAAACTTTAACGAATTTCATTTTTTCTTTGTCTGTATAATGCGGATGTGGTGTCGCAGCCACTAAATGCGTAGAGAAATAAAATGTTGTCCATAAATGAAGCATCTAGATTCATATTATGGGGTGCATACGTTCAACTTTGCGACTGCCCCTTGCCTGGCTTTAGAAAATAAATATTCGACCGAGACCCATTTAAGGCAGTAAGAATTACGAACAAATCGGTGTCTTCGCCGGCTATAATTACCGTGTCATTGTGATTTGATTCTTCAATTGCAGTGTTGACAATTAATGTGTCAGCATCTTCATCAGCCTGCTTGAACTCATCAGATTCATCAGCAGCGTGCATGACCTTGAGTTAAAGATTCCGCTTAACAACAAGAGTAAGGTTCTCGGAAAGACAAAAACTGCCTAGAATAGAGGAAATAATAACTGCTTATAATATATTTAGCGCGTTTAAACCGAGATAACTTGGAAACGGGTTGTCGCACGGAAAAAGTACATAGAACGTTTTTTATAGAGTTTTTCCTCTTCTTTAATTTTGGTCTGTACATTTTTTGTACTAAAGTTGATAGAAATCGAGTTATTGACAAATAATGAAAAATAAACCGAATTTTAGCCACTTTTTCCAAGATGGCGGCCAAATCTGGGCTTTGTGGGTGGTGCAAATTTAACACGTGGTTCCTTACACTAAACTAAACAAAATAAAATTTATTCTAGCTTCTCCGGATTTGCTCCCGCCGTAAGCTATTTTTTAGTACTTGGCCACTGGCCTAATAAATAATAAGGGACATTGTTTGTCGATGGCCTGGATCAACATATGGTAGCACAATGTTTAATGCTTCCTTACTTTGTGCCTCATTGGAAGCTGGGGAATATCAAGGTGGATATTTGTTAGGTGACAGGGCTTATAGCTGTAAAGAATATTTATCAACACCCCTTTTAAATTCAAACACTGTAGCTGAGACTAACTATAATTCAGCTCATATTCAAACCAGAAATTGCATAGAGCGCTCATTTGGAGTTTGGAAAAGAAGGTTTGCTTGTCTTTCTCTAGGCCTTCGAACTAAACTGGAGACCAGTTTGCTAGTGATTGTGGCAACAGCAGTGTTGCATAATATTGCGTTAGTTAAAAGCGATTATTTTGAAGATGGTGTTGTAGAAGAAAAGTTGGTTGAAGATATCATTTTACCTAATGTTCAGCACAATGCAGGAGGCAACGCACTTAGAAGGAGTTTAATTGAAAATCATTTCAGATAGGTATGTATCATAAAAAAATCGTATTCTTAAATTAAAATCCTTGGGACATTAAGTTCCGAAAACGCTGAGTTATGTTTTCATGTTGTTTAAAAATAATTATTTAGTCTATAGAAAGTCAAGAAATCAAGAAAATTAATTTAATATATTGTTTGCGGACCAGTGTGGACTCGACCTAACCTAACTATATGTCCCGCCCCCAGATGACCTTAATATCGCATTAAAGACACCGTAATGATTCATTCAAACGTTCGAGAACAATCGAGTTCCATTGGAATGGAGTAGTACATACGAGAATATTCGAAACTTTCTCTATTGACCTAATGATCTATGGATTATTCGAGAACTCTTTAGCTGTGGGTATATAAAACCGAAGGATGGGGCCTGAAGAGGACAGAAATAAATAGACGAGTACAGTTGTCGCGCTAAATTCAAAATAAATTCTTTCTAGATAAATAGTTGTAAATAGTTTGCATATAGTTCTTTAAGTATTTTAATCGTTATTATTTGTTACTTAGTGTAAATAAATTGTGACTTTCTATCCACACGGAACCGACGAAAAACGTAACAATATCAATACAAGGTTCAATAACTTTAAATTTCCAAGAAAAATCATATTATGTATTTATATATTATAATTTTACTATTTCTTCAAAAAAAAACAAGGTATAGACATTATTTACAATTTTATTGTTATTTCTTTAAAAGATCTTCTTTTAATTTTGATTCAATTTTTTTAATTTTTAAATCTTCTTATATAATTTACTTCCATTTCATTTTTCAATTTTAAATGTTCTAGTTCAATGGTTTTAATTTCTATTTCTTTATTTTTAATTATTTCTTGTATATATACAATATTTCTTTTTCTTCTAAATATAAAACATTTTTTTTCTTCTTTGGCGTCGGTTTCATCTTTAATTTTTTTTCGGTCAACTAAACGATTTGTCAGTGTATTTAATTAAATGCGTTTCTTTTTTTTCAGTAAATTTTCTTTTTTTGTTGGGTGTTGGTGTAGCCTCAGGAACAGTCACATTTGTTTCAGCTTTGGATGGGGTCGGTTGCAGCTTGGAAGTAGCAGGAACGTCAAGATTAATATCATGTGATATATTATCTAATATATAAATTTAAAAAAAAATCCAAATTTAAGTGAGGATGCAGTCAATAATCACCACATAGGCTAAAAAATAAATAAATATATAAAAATAATATCTAAAAGAATAGTTGGTTTCATTTCAGGTCAGGATACCTATTCTTAACCACTCGCATCTTCGAATATGACTTGCATCTCTGAGAAAGCCATATAACGATATAACAATAATACATGTAATGCGCAAACGCAAAGTTGTGAACGCTGCGCTGTCAAGAAGAGATGGCATTTTGAGTTCCACTTTGTAAACCAGCGTTGAACTCTTTTGCTATTAATTCCCACCTGTCGTTTTTGTTTCATATTAGTTGCATCTGTTTTTTTTTTATTTTCAGTGATATCCGAGTATCCCTGCACAATTTCAAACAAAGATTTTTGCCGAAATCAGTGAAGTTTAAATATGCCCCGATGACAAGTGTAGATGTTGAACGAAGTTTTTCCGACTTAAAATATGTCCTTATTGATAGGAGAATGGGATTTTCTGTAGAAAATTTAGAAAAACAGTTAGTTATTGCTTTATTTAAAAACGATGATTATTTAGAAGTCCTAATTTCATTTATTTTTGTTATTTAAATATTTTTTATTGCAAAATATTAGGTATATAACTCATTATAGTTTAGTTGTTACATAGAATCTCGATGGAACTCTTTAAAGACGGCTGTCAGAGACACGCAAGATATCGACATAGGATATGTACGCACTTATAAGAAGCAACAATGGATGACTGATGAAATCCTGCAACTTATAGATGACAGAAGAAAGCAGAAAACTAGACGGTACAAGGAGCTGAACAGGGCTGAGCGAATTGAATGTCGAAGAGCAAAGAAGCGTTGGCTAGCAGACAAGTGCAGTGAAATGGAGACCTTGCAAAAGAAGCATGATTTGTTTAACCTCCACAAAAATATCCAAGAATTTACAAACACAGGACGTAAACAGTGCCGAGGTATTCTGAGAGATGCTAAGAATAAAACCTTGGTGGGCGTCGAGGAAAAGCTCGATCGGTGGAAGGAGTATGTTGAGTTGCTCTATGCAGATACACGGCCCGATCAACCACCCATAGCTAGTAATCTCAATGATTCTAGTCCTGATATTACAAAGGAAAAAGTCAAACGTGCTGTAGAGCTTCAGAAGAAAAACAAGGCAGTAGGACCAGACCAGATCCACGCGGAAACCCTAAAGCTAATCGCCGATGCAGATGATAGGGGCCTTAAGATTCTTACAGAATTGTTTAATTCGATATACAAGGCCGGCAAGATACCCACTGATTGGCTAAAATCCACTTTTATCCCATTACCTAAAAAACCAAACGCTTCTCAATGTGATGACCACCGGTTAATCAGCCTGATGTCACATGTCCTCAAAGTATTCCTCCGAATAATTCATACCCGTATATACAACAGATGCGAACGACAGGTTGGCGATAAACAGTTTGGATTTAGGAATGGAATTGGCACGCGCGAGGCTCTTTTTACACTAAACGTTATTACACAGCGATGCAGGGACATGAACGTCGATATATATGCCGGCTTTATAGATTATAGAAAAGCCTTTGACTGTGTGTCGCATCAAAAACTTGCCGAGATTCTTAGAACCACCGAGGTGGATGAGAGGGACTTATGCATTATCACCCAGTTATACTGGAACCAAACTGCAGAGATCAGGGCGGATGGCGGAACATCTGATGAAGTAGCAATTAGGAAGGGCGTCAGGCAGGGGCGTGATTATCCCCACTCCTTTTCAACATCTACTCAGTGTTGCCAACCGTAGCGGAATTCCGCTACGCATAGCGGAATTTACCGTCAAGAGCGGTGTAGCGGCGGCGGAACCAAATGACAGTAAGACGTAGCGGAATATTTTAATTCTCTTAGACGCGTGTAATGACGTCAACATTCTAAAACAGATTATTTATCATAAGTATTATGAGCAGTAAGAAGTTATGTGTTTTATTATATATTAATCTTATTTATTATTAACTAAAACTCAAATCAACAAGGCAGCGACATCTATCAATCAATCAATCAACCGGCACTGTGGCGTGCCAGGTAAAATGTGTTAGAGAGCGCCGGGAGCGGTAGAGGGCTCTAGGCTCTAGTGCGCTGATCGCTATTTACTAGTTCTCGGTGGTTCCCAAAATCTTTTAAAGTAAACAAAACAAAAGCAATGTAGGTTGTACGTGTATTTAGTATTATAAAAAGGTATGCTAATATGATTTATACATATATACATGCATTCAAGCAGAATACATATCTAAATATGCATAAATACCACAATAAAAAATTACATAATTTGCACTCATTTCAGGGGCGCAATATGTCTGAGTTATCTGATTCTGATATAGGAAAAAGCGGATCATCTACTCCGAAAAAGAAAAGGGCAATGAGGCACGAACTGGCCAGAGATGAAAAGAAAAGCCGAAAACAACTTTTTTCCAGAAAGTGGATGGAAGAAGATATTTTTAAGCGATGGCTACTACCAACTGAAGATCCAGCTAAAGCTAAGTGTAAAGTATGCCAGTTGAATTTAGGGACCAAAAGAAGTGATTTGTTAAGCCATGGGAAAAGTCAGAAACATTTAAAAAATATGAACTTAACGCAAATAACTAGACCAATTACTGAAATATTTCAGTCTTCTAAACAAGATAAAAATCTAATAATAGCAGATATCAGATTTACTTTGTTAGCTGCATCTCATAATTTTAGTTTTAGTTCTATTGACCATGTAACCGACACTTGTAAATTAAGTTTTAGTGATTCGAAAATCGCAAAAAATATGCAATTAAGGCGTACAAAATGCACAAGCATTTTAAAAAACGTACTTGCATCTACAATTAAAGAGGCATTGTGTGGTGAACTGAAGAATAACAGTTTTTCTATTCTTGTAGATGAAAGTACAGACATCAGCAATTATCGGTACCTGTGTATTTTAGTTAGATATATTTATGAAAACAAAATCAAAACCGAATTATTAGACTTAATTCCCATCAAGGCTGATGAGGGGTCAGCAAAAGGTCTCTATTCCCTGTTTAAAAAATGTCTGACTGATTTTAATTTAAGCGTGAATAATATTGTGGGTTATTGCTCTGATAACGCCAGTGTCATGATGGGGAACAAAGAATCATTTAAGACTTATCTCTTAAACGAAAATCACCATATTGTTGTAAATGGATGTGTGTGTCACTCGGCTCATTTAATTGCTGCTGCCGCTAGCCAAGAATTGCCAAGTAATATAGAAGCATTATTGCAAAATATCTCCAATTATTTTTCTAGAAGTCCAAAGAGACAGTCAGTTTTAGAAGAATTTCAACAATTTATGCGGGCAGCTCAACTTAAAATTATAAGCCCCAGCAAAACCAGATGGTTGGCACTATCAAATTGTGTTGAAAGGCTAATTGATCAGTGGGATGTTCTTTTAGAAGTCTTCCGAGTAGCTGCCTTTGAAGATAAAAATCAAGTAGGCAATATGATATTTAATGAAATGCAAAATCCCTATGTCAAAGCTTATCTTCTATTTTTAAAACACGTTCTTCCGATCTTTAATTCATTTAATGCTATGTTTCAGTCTTCCAAAGTCCTTGTAGATAAAATGTATGTAGAGAGTAGAAGATTTGTGAAGATACTATGTGTAAACTTTGTCAAACCCTCCTGTTATACGAGTGAGGTTGAACTTGATCTATTAAATGTATTTGATCCAAATGTGTTGCTTCCGGTGGAAGAAATTAATGTGGGTTTGAATACCATGAATTTACTCAAAGATTGTATCAAAGCTGATAACGAACAATTTAAACTTAAGTGTTTGAAATTTTATCAAGTAGCCGTTGCCCAAGCATTTAAAAGATTGCCTACTAAAGATAAATTTTATA